TAACATAAAATTTGAATAAAAATAATATAAAATTCAATACTGGAGTGCAGTAAATAAACAAAATAATTAATTGTAATATCACATCCCTCAATTGAGCCGCAAATCTATTGATTCCAAATATTGCAAGAGGTCGATCTTGAAGTTGGGTGAAGCAGCCTTTTTCCGAAGCCTGACTGGTAGATTATTCCATAATCTCGCCGCTCCCACCGCAAAGCTGCATCTATAAGACTCCGTTCTGGCCCAGGGAACTATAAGGTCAGATACGGACGACCTTTCAGAGTACTCAGCACGAGCAGCTCGAAAATTGATGTTGACATCAAGGTACCCCGGGACCTTATAGCGCATGACCGAGACAAGTAGACAAATGGTGACATATTTAATTCTACCTTCCAGACTCAGAATCGAGTACTTTTTGTACACAGGCGTGATGTGATGCCACTTGGGCGTACCATCTACAAAGCGCAGTGCAGCGTTTTTGCATCGTTCAAGCTTGCGTCTCATTTCACCAGAGATGCCCAAGAAAAGAGACGCGCAGTACTCCAGATGAGGAAAAACTAGCAGCTTGACAAGCAGCAGCCGAGTATCCACCGGCAAACAATCTCTGCATCTTCGAAGACACGATAATGTGCCAAAGCACTTCCTGGAAACCGCAGTGCAATGAGCTCTGAGTGTAAGTTCACTGTCCAGGACAACACCAAGCACAGTAATCTCTGATGAAAACTCTAGCGGAACATTGCCCATAATTAGAGTAGGTGGATCAACTGAAGCCCGAATCTCGCGCAAGTAAGCTCTGGAGGCAAACCACACCGCCTTGGTCTTACTGCAATTAATTACCAGACCATTAACCGTTGCCCAGGAAGAGACCGCATCCAGCACAGCACCGACTCTGTCCGCAATCATCCCAACCTCCTCGACACTGCCCGATGCGTATATGAAAAAATCGTCAGCATATTGGTGCGTACTGACGTTAGAACAGATGTCGGGAAGCTCATTAGCAAATAATGTGAACAGTAGGGGGCCCAGAATACTGCCCTGTGGTACACCACTTGAACGAAATAGCGCCTGCGAAAGTTCTCCATCAGGGGCGCGAACCACTTGGGTGCGATTAGTCAGATAGGACAATATCCAGAGACATGCCATATCAGAAAATCCAAGAGCCTCAAGCTTATCAATCAGCAGCTGAACATTGACAAGGTCGAAGGCCTTCGTGAAGTCCACAGACACCAGAAGAGTCACCTGCCTCCTATCGATCGCCAATTTCAAATCATCAACAATCTTAACCAGTACAGTACTGGTGCTGTGTCTTTTGCGGAATCCTGACTGAAGTGGATGGAGCAGGGAATTATCCTCAACAAAAGAAAGCATTTGCTTGTATGCCAACGCCTCGAGGAGTTTGCAGGATGCACTCAAGATACTTATGGGACGAAATGAATCAGGCGTCATCGCTGGCTGCCGTTTGGGTATTGGGATTACTATGGCCCTCCTCCAGGCTGAAGGGAAATAACCAGTCTGCAATGAGGCATTGAAAATATCTAATAGAACAGGAAATATTACAGGCATGCTTAGCTTAATAATTTTTAGAGACAAGCCATCAGGACCCGCAGCATTTGAATGAGAGGAAGCAAGAGCCTCAATCAGATCTCCAAAGTCCACAGGCCTAAAATAGAACCTGTTATCAGGCGAGATGCGCGCAGTCGGCCGCCGGCTATGCAGTGGAGTAGGATCATCAGTACCAACAAAGTGCTTGTTCATGCTAGTTGGTGATACTGGAAGCTGCTGACATGTCCTCGCACCACGAGTCAGTCCCAACTTGTCAATTACCCGCCATGTCTCTGATGTGCTGCGGCATTCCTGCAGTTTGTTGCGGTAGTAGTTATGCTTGGCATTACGAATTGTCAGTTTTATCAAGTTGCGCAGACGTTTGTACTCATCACCCATAGCCTGGTCATGACTTCTCCTGAACGAGCACCAGGCTGCATTGCGTGCTCGGATAAGGCCTAGAATATACTCATTCATCCAAGGGCTGGGCTTGCTTTTAGTCTTAATAGCACGGTAAGGAGCGTGCATATCCAGTACCGATAGTAAAATCGAGGAAAACCGCTCAACCTTCGTGTCGACGCAAGGCGATTCCAAAACCAACCTCCAATCAACGCCAGCCAGATCCTCAAGCATAGACTCCTCGTTGAAATACCGGAAACATCGCAGCATTCGTGTGTTATTCCTGGGAAGAGTTGCAGGTGCTCTAAATTCAGCAAAAAGTACGTCATGTCGTGATATCCAGGGAAAACTATGCTGTCTATAAATGTCAACATCATTCGAGCAACTGGTACATATATAATCAATCATAGTCCTGCAAGCACCTGATTGATGTGTAAAATCGAAAGGGATACGTTCGAGACCAAGAGATAGCAGTGATCGATGGAGTATTCTTAGATTCGTGGAGTCTGCAGCCCAGTCAATATTTAGGTCACCCATTAAAATCAGGTGATCATATGCAGTGTTACAATTCAGGATTGCCTCCTCCACATCTTCCCAGTGTCCCGCTTTGGGCGGACTATATACAATCGCACATAAAATGCGAGTAGAATTTAGCAAAATTTCGGCAAGCAGGATGTCAGGATGTACACTACGTGATGCATGCTGCTGCGAAACACAAAGCACTCTGCATTTAGATGGCTGACGCACATACAAGGCAACCCCACCACCGCCTCTGCCACATCTGTCATTCCTCAGAAGCATGTAACCATCCACCCGCACCTGGTGATCACCGATGTGATGCTTCAAGAAGGTTTCGCTAATACCAAAAATATCAGCCCTATTATTAACAATGATGGTCTTTATGTCATGATAATGTGCCGGAAGCGATTGTGCATTTGTATGACCTATAACTAGATTGTGCCCACTAGTATTATGGTCCTTATTCACCATAATTTATGCTGCATGACTTGCGTTCTATTTTAGCTCGTAAAATGGCACATAAAGACAAGTCAAAAGCTGAGTGCGAAACATTATCCAGTTTACTATGACAGCAATTAACGCATTTGAGCTGAGTTTTCGTTTTACAATGCTTTGACTCGTGCTGGCCAGCACAAAATCCGCACACTGCAGCACCATTACAGTTGTTGGCCATGTGTCCAAAACTTTGGCATTTGTAGCATTGAAGTATGCTTATGTGGTCCGCGAAACGACACTGAAGCCACCCCAAGTAGATGCGAGCGCGCCGGAAGAGAACAGAACGCGCGGTAGGTGTTACTTGAATTACACACGACCTGTATCTCTTATTATTCGCTGGGTACATGTACACTATGGTAACATCAGTAGGTGCACAGTCAGGTAAATTTTGCTGTGTAATTGCTTCAAGTATTTCCTCCCTGGAGAGGCTGACGGGTATGTCATGAACTATTATCCGTGGCAGTAATTTGCTTTCCTGTTTTACCTCCAGCCCAACATCACGCAGATCAGAACAGTCAGCAAGAGCTCCAAGTCCATCGCCTTCGATCACGACGTTCTTCTTGGATAGCATATTGACTCGCTTAACTCGAATTCCAAGGTTGGAGGCTTTCACTTTTTCCAAGAGTGTGCTTTTAGTTGCCTTCGCTGAATCAAATCTCTCGATGTAATTCTCGCTCGGTCCGATAATCACTCGAGCAGTTTTACTAATCGGTATGGTTTTACCCTTATTCAGAATAATTTTCCGGTCACTGGGCGCACCAGCGACTCGGCCACCAGAAACAGCCTGTGCAAAGGTAGGCATAGAGAGATTTCCCGCACGGTCGGTAGACTGCACAGAAGACCTCCCAGCCAGAGATATAGTGCGACAAGTCTCCTCCAACATGTGCTTACAAGCGTTGGTCATATTTTCCTCGGCCAACTTGGAAGTGTAGGCAAGTGAAATAGTGCTAATTACATCACAAAAGCCGTTGGCAGCATTAAAAATAGCTTGTATGCGCGATGAAACCTTTTCATTTTTGTAAGCAGTATAGAGTGACTCGCGTAGTCCATTGACCCTCCGCAGCAGTTTGTTGACATCATCACTGGACAAATTTTGTCCCGACCTGGTGGCTTGAGCTTCATAGAAGCCGTCCTCCTCGCTGGCCTCGCTGCTATCTCCCATAACACAGCTACATCAAGCAGTCAAAACACCGCAGCAGACGACACAGCCGAGATCCCGCATGCGCAGCGGATCAGCCGAGATGGCCGCCGAGAGACGAGAAGCAACGTGGAAACTTCAGCAATATGCGAAGTAAATTGAAGGGCAAGTCGAATCCGTCTGACACTGCTAACATTCTTACAGATGACTTGCAGTATAGTGCATGCAAGAAACCTGCAACAAAGTGCCCGCAGGCAAAACAGAGCAAATACACAATCCAATAATGAGGAGCCAAATAAATCACGACCATTCAACAACTCACCGAGAGAGAGAGGGCAGAGGGTAGAGAGAGAGAGAGAGAGAGAGAGAGAGAAAGAAAGAGAGAGAGAGAGAGATTGATTGATTGTAAACGAATCTATTAATACCAAGGGTGAAACACCCGAATGACAACACACCAAATAATACATAATTAAATAAAGAAATATAATAACAGCAATAAGTATAACAAGTATAAGGTAATAACTTAAGAGTTACATATTAGCAATTGAACTAACATAAGTACAATCGATTGCATCTATTAGATATGGTGCTAGTTTACAATAAATTTATAGGCATCTAAGTAACTTATAGTTAAACAATAATAACTAAGCACTTTGCCAAATTTCATAATTACAAATAGTAACGAATAATTTTCATTTTATTTTTCGATTTTTCATACCATGCCATCGGCCTCGGCTAATAATTGCCTGTACAAAAAACTCTTAAATTCATTTAAAGTTTCGGATAAACGGATACGCGCCGGTATAAGATCCCAAAACCGCATAGCCATCTGCGAAAACGACTGCTCATAGGTGGCGAGCGTTGCAACGAGTTCTCTCAAACAATGAAGGAACGCGCCTCTCGGAACGTCTCAGCCCCTCACGTGCCGCAGGGAAAAGGTCAAACAAGTAACTCGGCTTCGTGGTGGTAAGGATCCCATAAGTGCTAACACCAAGAAAGTAATTTCGTCGAGCGCCAGGGCGCAACCACTTAAGTCTGGCATAGAACGGCCCCAGGGCGGTGTCACGTCTAAGATTTAAAATGAAACTGACAACAGTATTACACAAGCGGTCGAGTTTTGTGGCAAATAACCAGAAAGACCTGCGAAAACCAGGCAAGCATAATCGAAATGCGGCCATATGAGTGTCGTAGCCAACTTTTCTTTAAATTTACTGGATAGCGATCCACCCTTGTATCGTAAACGATAGAGAATACCGTGCACCCGTGAGCAGATAGCAGCCACATGCCTATTCCAAGTGAGATCGTCGGTGAGATAAACACCTAAGTCCTTTACACAGTCACTTAAAGGAATGACATGCGTGCCAGCTAGGATAGGCGGTAAAGCCGCCTTGTCAACACGCAACAATTGCTGACGGGTACCCATTATTATTGCCTGGAGCTTATTCCAGCTGAAATCTAACCCATGCTCGTCCGACCATGCCACTACGCCGCTAATGTCCTGGTTCAACAAATGAATCGTGCGACGTGCATCAGATGGTGCGCATTGGATATAGCACTGCAAGTCATCCGCGAAAAGCACACCCACGCTATGGCGCAGCACCGACAGTACCGAATTTATAAAGATGAGAAAAATAATAGGTCTCGTGGAAGAGCCCTGCGGTATTCCCGAAGTACTGGGCAAGAAAGCCGTACAATCACCGCTTAAATCCAATACCGCCTGAGATTGACCCGATAAGTAACTGTGGAACCACGCAACAGCGTCGGCAGAAAAACCCATGTCAGCCATAATACGCAGGAGCACGGCATGGCCAATCAAATCAAAAACCCTTCTAAAGTCAAATAATACAAGGATTGTAATCATATCGCGCTCCATCCCCAAACAGATGTCCTCAGTAATCTTTAAGAGTGCCGATTGCGTACTATGGTGGCGCCTAAAGCCCGACTGCATCGGCGAAAGTAAATTCTGGTTCTCCAGGAACGACGACACCTGCTGCGCGACAATCACATCAAATACCTTAGCAAAGTGGCCCAAATTCGCAATTGGCCTCACATTGTTCGGACCGGCTGGTCGAGAAATCTTAGCCAAGGGAACAATAACCGATTTTTTCCAATCAGTCGGGTAAGTACATGTAACGAATGAATGATTAAAAATAAAAGTTAAAAAGGGGACGACAACAGACAAACAATCACGAAAATAACGCAAGGACAAACCATCGAAACTACGGCCTTTGGTTTTAGCCATGCATGTTGCCATGGCCTGACGAACCTCTAAGGGAGACACATGTTGAAAGGAGAATCTGACCCCATCAGTCTGGGCAACAACCGACATTTGTCGCAATTCCTCGACGCTACACGGGGGATGCACACAGGCGGCATCAGAAAAATGACGCGACAAAACATCGGGAGTAATACGCGTCAGCGGGGAATCAGAAGTGCCACCCAACAAGCCAAACCTGCGCAAGAGCCTCCAACAGACCGCCGAGCTACGCGAACCCTCTAGAGACCGCCGCAGATACTCATCTCGCGCCGCCGATATGTCTTTCTTCAATATCGCTCTCACACGACGGTACTCAGCCAGTCCCTCGGCGCTCCGGGTCCTCCTCGCTTCCTTATAGAGTCTATCGCGAATCTTACACCGCTCCCTTAGTTGACGATTGAACCAAGGTGCGGGCCCGTGACGTGCGGTACGCTGCACCAAAGGGGCATGAACATCGAGAAGGGGGAGCACAGTCGCACCGAAACCATGCACCAGGTCATCGACACTCGGGGGCGCATCGGAAACGCTCAAGCTCGGCAGCCGTGAGCGGACATCCGCACAAAAAGCCTCCGCTTCAAAATTGCGAAAATCACGTACGGGGTTCCCAACCAATACACGGGGTGCTGCAATATTATATTCAGCATACAAAAAATCGTGTCCACTTATACATGGGGCGTCGGAAGACCAAAAAGAACGCACTTTATGCTCGGAATCCACCAGTATGACATCAAGCCAAGTATCGGCAGTGGCACAATGATGCGTTGCACTAAACAGAACCGCGTACAACGAATTCTCAGAAAGCAGGCCACGCAAATGAGTCCCATAATAGTCATTGCTAAGAAGATCTTAGTTCAGGTCTCCCGCTACGATGGTGTTTGAGAAGCCAGTTGCCACACGCTGAAGGGTACCGAAAAACTCGGATAGAACGTCCCCCTTCGGGCGCCGATATACCGAAGCCATCAGAATACGCACACCAGCCCGAATCCTAATATTTAAAATCAGATATTCCGTCTCATTCAACCTTGTTATCTGAGGAGCCGAGACAATGCCATAGCAAAAATCAGAGGGGAAAGAGAGAGAGAGAGAGAGGGAAAGAAAGAACTGTGAGGACGATGCTGAGGGAGAGAGAATTCGTGTGACTCGTGGAAGATGTGTCCAAAAAGAGAGCGAGAAAGAGAATTGTATGCATGTGTAAGGGTTTCCGGGATAGAGAAAGTGAGAGGGCCACGTAGTTCGCAAGGATTTTCCAGGAAGAGGGAGTCACCTGGGTCAGAGAATTTCGTGAGCGTGTTGGGCAGTGTGTATGTACGCTGAAAACAAAGCGTGGCGTAATGTCGGATGGCGACCAGTAATCTTTATTGTATTTGATAATGTTGTATTAAGTGAAAATAAACGAGAACTTTTAATAGAGGTTTTTGGCGTTTAAAGATTATTGTTGTGAGTTGCTTCCTTTTCCACAGAGTGGCTGGTATCAGACCAGCGGCCTGTGATGGAACTCTCTTTTGCATTTAAATTTCAGGTACAAGTACATAAGGGCAGAGTAGTACCTGGTTATAGCGAGCGTGTCAGAAAAAAAAGCGTTGAGTAAGGTCTGCAACTTTGTTTTTAATGAAAAATAAATTTTTTTGGCATTTTTCTGTTTTCATTAATTACCTCAAGATGAGTTGCATTTGAATTTATTGTCAATTTATCTGATTAACTAGCTCCAGTTTCACTTATGCATATGCAATGTGAATGGGAGTTACGCTGGAGTTAATCCTAGTCTTTATTCGTAGACACTTTGTCAAAACTCGAACAATATGCCGATTTTCCTCTCCCTAATCTTAAGCTTCGTCCATTTCCTTCCCAAAGTGTCAAATACAATAGAAAACTCATAAGATTATTTGCTTCGTGCAATAAATTTCAATCACCGCCACAAAATAAGAAAAAATTATCATATTTACTCACAGTATATTATTTCGTATGGTAAAGATACGCTCTTGGTGAAAAAACAAGACAAAAACCTGTATGACCATAAAAAGCTCTGTTATACTTGTAACTAAATATCGCCGTTTTATTCTATGCGGATAAAGATATTTTAAACTGCTTTACAGATCGAATAATATGTATTAAAAAAAACTATAATAGCAGACACAAGCATATAAGTAAACGCTAGCATATAACCGGCCATGCTAGCACTAAACGACGCATGCGCATGCAATACTGCTTAAGAGTTGTCTTCATAGATATATTTTGTGGTGGTCGCGGTGGCGCAACGGTAGAGTTGCAGTTCCGTCGATCTCCAAGGTTAAGCAGCATTTAGCGCGGTTAGTACTTGGATGGGTGGCCGTTTAAGTCTCGCTGTTTTGCCTGTGCTGTTGATTTTCGAGGGTCGATTAATTGTTTCTCTTGCGCTTCGTCAACGTGATCATAGGTGTGGTTGAGATGGTCCTAGTGTTTAGACGTGTACACATCTGGTCTGCATAACTCAGGTTTACACCAATAGCTAATAAACACTATTATTCTGTAGAAGAAAGCCATGTCTGAGCCTAAAAGGCGATTATGAATAATAAGAAGAATAAAAAAGATACATTTTGTGCAAATGATACATTTGTAGCTTCGTAGCGCCAAAACAGATTGGTATTTCTGGATAGAAATTATCAAAAATGTGCAACAAAAAACGAATGGCAGCACAACATTTTTCAGGTATTCATATCTCAACTTTTTTCAAATAAATATCTATCAGCATTAGAGCACTATAAGGTATTTTTAAAAATCAGACAAAGCCTTAGTAACCACGATAGTATTTACTTATAATTCGCGTACTTGGATTCTCAAACAGCGAAAAATAAGTATTTTTGTCGTTCCTGTCGTTTCGGATTAATTTAACTTCTTTCATTCTGCAGCTTTACAAACAAATATAACACACTTTGTAGATAAAAGTTTTGATTTACACTGCAGACACAGAAACTTTTTCAACAGCGCTGTAAACACTGTTTTGTTAAGCGATAACAGCTAATTACAGTTACAATAAGTGTGGTTATTTGCTGTTAACATCATCTCACACAACATGCATAAATAATCTTCCAGTACTATAATCTTAGCTACAGATATGTATGTATCTTCCTATATTATATAGTTGTTAAGGCCGTGATTTCAACACTACTCCACCGTACGCCCTTGCTGCTGTCTCCCACTACCCCCCAACGTCTCTCGCAAAATAAGGAAAAATTCTATAGTCATCGCTGTTATTCTAACCCAATCAAATAATATCCAGAAACCATCAAACCCCCCTCGGACCGCCGCACAATTCTAAGTCCCCCCGCAAAATAAGGGAAAATTCGTTAAATTTTCCCCATTATTTCAACCTAATGAAACTCTCTGTTATTTTTATTGTAACGCTCACCCCCTGCCAGCGCTACCTGCACATTTTTAAGTCCCCCTGCAGCTCCTCTGCCATCCCCACATTAAGTTTGGAACACATGCCACCGTTCCAAAAACCCAGTAATTTTTTATAAAATTTAATAGATGTGTATGTTATTTCAACCCAATAAAATTGGTATGTATGTCTCCTTACCCTACCCGCCATAATACATATAAAACCACTGATGTCCGTAGCTGTGTCCAGTTACCTTTTCTTTTCATTATATTTATCATTTCATACGAACTTCGATAAGTATTCAGTTGGACGTGTGTTAGCTTTTTTTATTACTATAATTTCTTTCATACGTTAAATTTTAATACTTCCGTGCAATGCTATGACATATGATCATACATATTTATTGAAAATAAAGTAGTGAGAAAAAAAAATGTGTTTGCTATCGGTAGTAGCCCTATAAAATCATGAAAAGATAGAACACCTCGATACCTGACTAAAAAAAAAAAAAAAAAATTGATTGTAGCGTAATTTGTTCATTTACTACAATTTTGGTACACTGAGACAAATCTGTGCATCTACTGTATTCGTGAGTGTATGTACTGCACAGAATATTAGTGAACTCAGTGCTCACAAGAACTTGTGCAGATTTTATACAGGGTGGTGTACATGTTAGTGTATATAGTAGTTATATCCCCTTGACTGTGTAACAGATGCGCTAACTATACTGCGCAACTACTAATAGCTCTACCGGTACATTGGCTGCTTTTGTGTAACTGTGCATAACAAGTCTCGCTCTCGCATTACGTGCATGCACTGATACATTTTTTATGCAGTTAACTTAGCATGCTAAACTTTCATTAATCTAAATGATAGTGACAACAGGTACGGCTATATATCAGTTTGTTCAAAAATATGGATTTTCCCAAAATGTTAAACGGAAGTTTAAAAGTTGGTTAGGTTACATGTTATGTATGTTTGTTTACGTACCACACAACACATGTATATGATGAATATTTACATCTATGCAGATCCCTACATTACACATTTGTCAAAAAGCGTATGAGATTCTGGAAATTTCAATGTTATTACTTGTTAAAAGCTAAGAAAATATTAAATAAATACTTCAGCTTACACATATAGTTTGGTTACGGGGGGTCATGGAATGTGATTCAATAGCTAATACATGTATATATTCAATGCAGTTGTCAGTCATTCAGCATTACATGGACACAAGATATAGTTTTCGAGGCCATCGGTTGGCAATTTCTTGTAATATCCAACAAGTGCTTCCTTTCATTCACTATAAAATAAATTGTATTTCACGACATGACAGAAAACAGATGCCTTCCGGTGTCTCAAAAATTGATGCTACTTGATTTTTTCATTTTATTTTACCCACATGCATATGGGACGTTTCAGGCACGCCGCGCGAGCACTAAAAGTCACTGTTTTCAGATAATTTTCTCGGCCTTATTCCTATCCTAAAAAAATGTTGCGAATAGCATTTTCGATGTACTTTTCAGTCAGCTTTCCGATGGTGTGGTTAGTTTTTCAAAAAAATTTCATTTTCACTCAAAAAAAAACATAAAATATGCTACATCTCGAAAAAGGAATTTATAATATTTTTTTTGATAAGCTAGATGGAAAGCTGAGATTTATTTACGTTGAAAAAGTCTTTTTGCATAGTGTGCTATCACTGAAAAATTCCAGTAAA